ACGGGCGTGTCGAGGCCTTAAGTTGCAGCAACAGTCATCTGAAGTGTTCAATAAAATTGTTCTCTGTCTTTCTACATTCGAAATCAAATTCTCGTTAATAATTCGAAAAACACAGTCTGGCTCTGATTACAGAGGAAGCATAATTTAAACAATGTAAATTTCCCTCAGGAGGGAAGACTGTACGGGGGCAATGCCCACAGGAGTCAGAATATAACCTTTTGAACTGTCCCCTTTTTATTTTATTTTTTATTTATTTATTTATATTCTTTTTAATTTTTTTTATGTTTTACATTTGACAGCTTAGCAAGCAACAGAAATAGCTTACAGCGAAATATAAACTTGCATCTCGTCTAATATGGACGACACCAGAAAAGGTTGATTCTGGAGTCCAACCAGAGATTGAAGTTCTAATTTCGTCAAAAATCAAAATCGGAAGTGTGACTGATAAGTAAGATTTCCAATCCTATAAAGCAATTTTGAAACCAGATAGAAAAATGAAACTGGTATCAAAATGAAGGAAATTTATATCTGTTGAAAATGACGAGCATTAATTAATAAGTAAGATCTCCAATCCTATAAAACAATTTTAAGCTAGAACAACTATTTACCTATAACCGGTACCCTAACAGTTGCTACCACCCAGGGTCAGAGCGGACCTGGGAACACCAGCAATTAAGAGAGGGTTCTACATTCCTCAAAACCTCCTGATTAGAGACCTTGCTGACGGATGTAGTTAATCGTGTTACCAAGGACGCACAACGGCAAGAAATTCTGAAGAAAAAAAATTCGATTTTAGTTTGGTGAATTCTTTTTTGTTTCCTCTTATAATTCACCAAACCCAAATCGAATTTTTGTCATGAAAAGATTTCGTTTTAAGAAGAAAAATGGTGAAAATAATTATCAGTATCTATCGTCTCTGGCAATATAAACTGACCAGAAGGTCCTTAAGACTAAAGGAGAAACAGGTCGCTCCCTAAGGGTAAGACTACAAGAACATCGTAAAGCAGTAACAGAAGCGGAAATAGAAAAAATCATTCGTAGCTCACCACATATGGAGGGAAAAGAGAGATCACCACTCCCTGATGAGAGTGAAATAATAGACTGAGAACCTCACTGGAAAATACGAAAACTTAAGGAATCAGCACATATTCTAGGCCACAAAAATCTCCTGAGCCGACCAAGCATAGAAATGAATACAATATGGGAACCAGTAATAAGGAGTGCTACAGAAAAGCAATGAATCACAATAAAAAAATTGAAATATGAGATCAGGTAAAAATGCAGTAATACTAACAAAAATTGTAATATGAGCACTGGTGAAAATCGAGGCTGAGACATTAGGTTTACAAGTCTCAAAAATTCATACACTGATGTCATCAAGGAGATATAGCCCAGTGGTTAGATCCATTAACTAGACCCAAAGAGTTGTGAGTTCAATAAAAAAAAAAAAAATTGGAGAGTTGAATTAAAGGGAAATAACTGAGACATCCGGAAGAGGCATGGCATGTGGTCCTAGAAAACTCTACCCCGATGGAAGAAATAAAGGGTTCGATTCGAAATTCTAATCACCTGAAGAAGGCCGGAGAGTACTACGGCCGAAACGTTGTGAATATGGCAATGAAGATGAGAATAACACTCCGAATTATGTAAATAATGCAAATAATCAAAATACCTCAGATATTGATTTTTCTTTAAGCGTTTCACCCCAAGCAAGACGGGAACCATTGGCATGCAAGGGGTTACAAAGAGTTGGAGTGAGAGTAAGTAGGAGTGATAGAGGAAAGGAGGAAGAGAATGATAGGGGATAGATCAGGGCATCTGGAGACGTCGATTGACATTACATTTGAATAGTTGGAGATTATAGCTATCATGGAAACAGGAAAAGGGGAGGGAGTTCCATAGGCGAGAAGTGCGAGACATGAAGCTATTGGAGTAGAAGAGACGGCTACATTTAACAGTTCCGACAGGGAAAGAGTGAGAGCGAGATGCCAGCCTAGTAGAACGCTTGAATTCATGAAGTCTGGGAACCAGCGAAAGCAGCTCATGGGAACAGTTACCGTGAAACATTGAAAATATGGCAATGAAGATTAGGATAACAGTCCGAATAATGTAAATAATGCAAATAGTCATAATACCTTATCTCAGAGATATAGAGGCCGAAATTGTGAATATGGCAATGAAGAAGGATAACAAATAATGTAAATAATGCAAATAATCATAATACCTCGTCTCAGAGATATAGGTGGCGAAACGTTTAAATATGGCAATGAAGATTAGGATAACAGTCCGAATAATGTAAATAATGCAAATAATCATAATACCTCATCTCAGAGATATAGGTGGCGAAACGTTTTAAATATGGCAATGAAGATTAGGATAACAGTCCGAATAATGTAAATAATGCAAATAATCATAATACCTCATCTCAGAGATATAGGTGGCAAAGCGTTTTAAATATGGCAATGAAGATTAGGATAACAGTCCGAATAATGTAAATAATGCAAATAATCATAATACCTCATCTCAGAAATATAGGTGGCAAAGCGTTTTAAATATGGCAATGAAGATTAGGATAACAGTCCGAATAATGTAAATAATGCAACTAGTCATAATACCTCATTCTCAGAGATATAGAGGCCGAAATGTTGTGAATATGGCAATGAAGATTAGGATAACAGTCCGAATAATGTAAATAATGCAAATAATCATAATACCTCATCTCAGAGATATAGGTGGCGAAACGTTTTAAATATGGCAATGAAGATTAGGATAACAGTCCGAATAATGTAAATAATGCAACTAGTCATAATACCTCATCTCAAAGATATAGAGGCCGAAATGTTGTGAATATGGCAATGAAGATTAGGATAACAGTCCGAATAATGTAAATAATGCATGTAATGCAGGGTCACCTATCCATGCATCACTACAAATATTATTTATCATAGCGCCCTCTCTAAGCGTTACCAAAGTGTTTGAGCTCCTTATTACCAGAAAGCTGCCTATTCGGTACCCTCAAATTTTTTTTTTAATAACTTATTTCTGAAATTTACGTGTTTTAATAGTATATTCATAATTGAAGTCAAAATTTCCATGGTAACAGCCAAGGCGGATTGTTTAAAATAGGTAGGGTGTGTTGGGTGTTAATAATAAGTATCAGTATAGAGTTACTAGTCAGGGTAAGGTGGGGGAGTCTAAATTTGAAACGGGAGATGTTTTCGCCTAGTCTGGTTTACGGGTCTATGGAGATTTATTTATTTTTTTTATTTTATTTCTTTATGAATATAAAAACTGCCGTAACATTTGTTTTTAGACGACTTCATAAAGGGTTATCTTTTTTGTAGGGTATTTAAACTATTTATTTGGGCTATGGATTATAAAAGTTATTATATTGCATGCTTGTTTTTAGCTAATTATTCAGTGCATAAATTTGATGATGTCGGCAAAAAACCGTTACCTCATGTCTACTGTTTAATAGATTTTTATTATTTAGAAACTTAATAATGTGCAGTTTCTCATGGAGGCACAAAGGGCATGGGTGATCCCAAGTTTTACATGTTCTAGCCCTGTTTATAATTTTCCATTTTACTTTAGGTGTCCTATTTATTTCCTTCAGATGCCAAAAATATTTACATAGGGAAGTCTGATTTCTTTTATTTATATTATTGAAAGAGCACTTATGCTGCCTCCATCTAGCTTTAAAATCATTCTTCGTGGACCCAATGTATATCATATTAGTATGATATTTTTACCAGATCTTATATTTCAATTTTTTTTATTGTTATTCATTGCTTTTCTGTAGCACTCCTTATTATTGGTTCCCATATTGTATTTATTTCTATGCTTGGTCGGCTCAGGAGATTTTTGTAGCCTAGATATCATATTAGTATGATATAAATTCCCTTTGAAAAAAAGATAACCCTTTATGAAGTCGTCTAAAAACAAATGTTACGGCAGTTTTTATATGCACAAAAGCCTTTCATAATGAAAAAAAATAAATAAATCTCCATAGACACGTAAACCACACTAGGCGAAAACATCTTCCGTTTCAAATTTAGACACCCCCACCTTTCCCTGACTTGACATCTATGAAAGTAACTCTATACTGATACTTATTATTAACACCCAACACACGCCTACCCAATTTAAACAATTCGCCCTAGCTGTTACCATGGAAATTTTGATTTCAATTATTAAAACACGTAAATTTCAGAAATAAGTTATTACAAAAACATTTCGCTTGAAGATGGAACAGAGCTTACTTTAATTCAATTTAATTCAAATAATGAGATTGAAGTTTTCGGCTCTTGTTTTTTGAAACATGGAACTCTTATGTCGCGAGTTGGAATCATATTTTTAAAAATAAATAATATATATATATATATATATATATATATATATATATATATATATATAGCCTTTAACTAATGTTCTATGTTCTCAAGTTAGCAAAGTATTTAATCACATTGTATTTGTGTATTTCAGGTATCCTGTTGATGAAAGAGGTACTGTTAAAAAACCCCTAGCATATCTATCTATCTATCTATCTATCTATCTATATATATATATATATATATATATATATATATATATTATTTATATATATATTATTGATTGATTTGATATTTACACCTTATCAACCCTTTGTAAGCCATTTAGAAAACTAGATATATCCTTAGATATTTTTAAAGAAATAATAAACATATTTACAAAAGTTTTACTAATTACCAATAGCTGGCGGAGTAGAAGTGGGTTCCTACTTTTTACATGTAAGTGACTATAACAAACCCGACTGGAATTGGAACTTCGTTTTCCGATTTCCAGTTTCGAACAGTTAACCATTACACCATTCGCATATCGAAGCTTAGAGCAAATTGTTGCTCCCAAGTTGTTGCCACTCTAGATACTAACCAGGATCGATGTTGCTTGTGTTCAGTTATCGTACGAGAACAGGTGCTTCAAACTGATATGAATGTAAGGCGATAGATAGATAGATAGATCTATTTAATTTTGATCCAATAGATAGATAGATAGATAGATAGATAGATAGATACTAACATAGTGAGATAGATAGATAGACAAATAGATAGATAGATAGAAAGATAGATACGAAAGGACTGTGAAAGACAGACAAATAGACAGAGATAGATAGATAAATGGATAGATAGATACGAAAGGACTGTGAAAGATAGATAGATAGATAGATAGATAGATAGATAGATAGATAGATAGATAGGTATGAAGGAACCATGATAGATAGATAGGAAAGGACTTTGATAGATAGATAGATAGATAGATAGATAGATAGATAGATAGATAGATGTGAAGGTACCATGATAGATAGGAAAGGACTTTGAAAGATAGATAGATAGATAGATAGATAGATAGATAGATAGATATGAAGGGACCAGGATAGATAGATAGGAAAGGACTTTGAAACATAGATAGATAGATAGATAGATAGATAGATAGATACGAAAGGACTGTGAAAGACAGACAGAAAAATAGATAGGTAGATAGATAGTTAATAAACAGAGATAAAGAGCCAGATAATAAAAATAGATAGATAGATAGATAGATAGATAGATAGATATAGCGAGCGAGTGAGTGAGTGAGTGAATGAGTGAGTGAGTGAAATAGAAAGCAAAGAGAAAAAATGTAGAAAGAGAATTTTTTAGAGCTTTAAACAAATATCATTTCGTTATTTTGTTTCGTTATTCGTGGTCAGATATATGTTGTGCTAAATTCCTGTGTGATTTGTCTAACTACGGTTAAGTTTTTTGTCATTTTTTTCCCAAGAATTATTCAAGGCAATAGACATGTTTTTGTTTTTTATTAGACAATCCTAAAAATCATAAATCGCAAAAACAAAGAAAAAAACAGAGTTTGGTCTTTGGCGAGATGAAAAAAAAATCAATAAAAACTCAACGAAAAAAAATCAACACGTATTTCATGAATTTACAAAAACTATTAAACCACAACATTGATCCCTGAAAGCTTCACAAACTTGTAACTCTTTCCGTCCAAATGTTAACTTTAGAACTAATGTCCTCATCTTTGTGGCTGTTGGGCTCTCCGGCCTTCTTCAGTTGTCTTTTGATTTCGTTAATCTTCGGATCAAAGCGGTAGATTCTTCTCATTGTTGTATCTATGTCTTTGAATTCCATTCCTTTATATCCAGCAAACGGAGAAATGTCAGAAGTCTGAAATGTCAGAAACTAAATAAAGAATAAATATAATTATCCTTTTTCTTCATATTTAACGAAAATTATACATATATATATATATATATATATATATATATATATATATATATATACAATGAATCATTCATACAAGAAGTAGATTAGTAAGGTTAATGATATAACAATTGCGAAATCCCTGTCGCAATCAAAATTTTAAAGTGGAATTAACCTACTAATCAGTCAATGAATGTTATGATCCTTGTTTTTTGAAATTATAAGCTGTATAAGGTCTTTCTTTAATACGGAAGTACTTTCAACTGTACATTCAGTCATCTTCAGGCATGGAAATTATTTTGTTTTTGGTAAAATCCAGGTAGAATCCGAGACGAACAAATTAAATGCAAAAATATATATATATATATATATATATATATATATATATATATATATATATATTACATGTGTTATTGTTAACGGATACAAACTTTTGGGGCGTGCAGTCGCAACGCATAAGGTTGAATTTTTTGAAAATTGAAGATTTTAGTTTTGTAATATAAATTGAACTGTACCACACACACACACACACACACACACACACACACATATATATATATATATATATATATATATATATATATATATATATATATAGCATCATGGCTCAGCGTTGCCCGTGCTTGATTCAAAAATCGTACGACATACAGCAATCGCTATCACTTGACTTAAAATATCTTTGCACTTCCTTGCCTTTAAATGAGTGCCCTTTGCCGTGTTGATGTTGCTACATGCCTTACTTCTTGCCTATCTCACACTGCGAATTTTTTCTAAGCTCTATACTAAACATTAAATCTGTTATGAAAAAAGAACTAAACAAAATGAACACAAAACGATCAGCTTTAAAAAAAGGACTCGTAACTGGAAAAAACACACTTAACCCAGTTCTGCGGAATCAGAATCAACGTTGAGTTTAAGCAAGCGAATGAGCCAATTGGAGTAAAGCGCCATGAAGATTTAAATTTTTCCCACTTGTGACGAATGCAGTTATCGATATTTTTGCATGCTAGCATGCTAGTTATCATTCGTGTCATTCAGCTGTTGGCTCTCACGCTGGCCAATAGAATATTCCTGCCTATTCGTGGCAGCCAGCTATAGGCTCTCATTCTGGCCAGTAAAAAATGGCCGAAAACTACATGAAAACTGCCGTAGAAGCATGAAGAATTCGATTATTTCCACTATCGATGGGAGTTGGGAAATGCAAAGTCGGTCTTGTCCTTCCCACTAACTTGGAGCATGTGCATGTAAATTTTGGTGCAAATCCGTCGAAAATTGCGGCCGTACATTCGTTACGCACATCCTGACATTGATATATATATATATATATATATATATATATATATATATATATATATATATATATATATATATATACACACTTCGAACGTAGGTATATCTACATTTATTATTTGTGTATTTAGGCAGCAAGTTCTCTTTTAGGCATGTCTGATTGAATAAATTACAAACATTACGTCTGCTAATTTTTAACAAAATCCGTTCATACTCACGAATAACATTCCGAGTATTGATGGTAAAGGATAAGAGAAATGTGCTATAACTGTTTGAATTTCTTTTATTTTCATTTCCCAAGTACTTTCGATCTTCTTCCATGATCATCTTCAGGGGTTCAAGTATTACTATATGTTGTTCATTAATACAAGTATTTATAAAATGTTGGGTGTTGATATCCATTACCGTATTTTTTTATTGTGCTTTTAAATGCAAAACGGTTGACAATGTATTGAGCGTTCCTTAGAACGTGAAAACATTATCCATTACGGAATCTTTTTACTCCATATGTTATAATGTCGTAGTCACGCATACATTAAAGCATGAAAAAACTGTTTCTTTACAGGCATTTCAGAAGATTAATGCAGTATTCATACTTAATTCTGTTCAGTGTCGGCTTTCATTTTTAAATATAAATTGCTTCCGGTGTCTGTAATCTTTGTTGTTTTCATGGTGTAAGATAGTTGTATTGTCAATATGTAATTTTTTGAATGCGGACAGGAATGTTGATGTAGATGTCTCGCAATGGACGAATAATATATATATATATATATATATATATATATATATATATATATATATATGTGTGTGTGTGTGTGTGTGTGTGTGTGTGTGTGTATATTGGGAAAATCTATGGCAAAATGGAAAAAATTCTTGTGATGCATTTCGTCCTTTAGGACATCATGGTACTAAATTTGTTATGTTAGTGTGACTGCACATGCGCACGAAGAAGGAATGCTGGGAATTTTTAATTTTAATTTTCTCTTTTTGGTAAAATATTGAAAGAGCCCGGGCGCAGATTCACTGTAGATGATTTTGCGATCAAGACACTCTCTAAACATTTTCGTTGTAGTGAATTGGTTTCTCCTTGTGGTCAGTCTCGTTACGGGAAGCAGCTAACGTATTTGATATATTATTTTGTAATATGTCCCTTTTGTGTTCATATAATCATTTATTTAGATTCCTTGAGGTTTCTCCTATTTATTTAATAATCCTAAAGAGCCAGGCAAATCTACCTAGGTTTTACCTAAATGGATCGTCAGGATAATGCGATGTTTTCGGGTTGGTTTAATGTTCTTGGTTCTTTCTTTTTTTATTCGTCATTTTTCCTCGGGTAACGATTTGTTCTACTGCAATATCCGAGGTTTTTCCAAACAAGTACACCATTTATATATATATATATATATATATATATATATATATATATATATAAAAGATAGATAGATAGATATTCATACATATATATTATATATATATATATATATATATATATATATATATGAGTAGTAAAAATATATAAACTTTAATGTACCAAGAACAATATTAGTGTGTAAAATGTATAAAAAGTGGAAAATGTTTTCATATATATATATATATATATATGCTTGAGAATGTTTTTAGTTTTCGAACACTGTCAGTATACTGTACCCCTGTTCATAATTGATATTATTAAGAGTATGACCATATCTGTTTTTAATATTAACGTTCCCATAATTTCAACCGTATTTTGCATTAGGATAATTCAGTTATTACCGTATTTTTCACAACGTTGCGGACTTATGTTAGTAGGTTTCTCTGTGTATTTAAATGTGCCTTGATGAAGCAATGATGCAAAAATTTTTTATTTCTATTAATGAGTAATGTCTTGAATCAAAATTTAATCCAGTTAGAGCAATAACGTAGTGTCTAACCGACATCAAAATGCCACTCTAAATCAGCCCCTCTTACTCGATACAAACGCGCAAGACTTATCCATCTTTTGGCAAATTCTAATGGACGGAGCTGCTGCCTTTTTGTCATAATCTTGACTTTAAACTGACGCTTAAAGAACAAGATCTGTCGGGAAGAGTCAATTCTCGCCCCCATAGAATTCCTTCTGACGCGACTTCCATATCCTCTCATTACGCCTAGCAAGTAAAAAACATGTAATGTTGAAACTTTGTCAACAGTGGTACCACATTGCTACAGACAGAACTGACCTCGAGGACGAAAAACTTTCTGCAAATCATGTGAATCATGATATCTTCAGTACACCTGCCCAACGGGACTATAACCCTGCGAGAAAAGAAAGATTTCCTCATCGTCATCACGGCGAACGCAGTTTGAAAAGTTTTTCCCAAGCCGCTGAACAAAGACTTTTGCCGACCCAGAAGACCCTTCCAATTAACAGCTTGCTGAGGGATACCACATCATTATTGAGGCATTTCAACCCGGACACCTAAGGCCATATTAAGCTGGCCTCCATCTTCGTAAGACCGAGCTCATCTATCAGATCATCTTGAACGTACGCCCTGACACGTATCATAATACCCTACAGAACAACGTCTGTATGAAGTGTTTCAGAGAAATCCAACATTCACGATAGAAGCCTCGGGGTAAACGGGTGGTCTCTTCGTCGCACGAGGGCACGCTTCTCAGGGATGGGAAATTATTATGGACGACCTTATTTCAGAACTTGTCCTCATCATCCGATTGCTGTCACATTCTATATAGGAACGCGATGCGAAGCGTATATTGACGGGCTCTCAACTCTAGGCTTACCCAGACTGCCTTCAGAAGAGTGGCGGTGACAGAACTCCCGAGGCACCATGAGGACCTTGCCTCCACACAAGGAGAACAAGAGTCTTACTATTGAAATTACGGAAGTGAATGTATGGAGAACCGGTAAAGTATAATCGGGTGGATGTGCGAGGCACATACATCCGCCCTCCCTACAGGCGAGCTGCAATCTTGAACTTCTCCCGCACCTCCGACCAATTAATTTCCAAGAGGAGATCGGGACCGAATCAGATGCCAAATATCTTGACCGGTCATTGTGTCCTTGGTGACCCAATGAGTTGTGAGTTCAATCCCTGAGAGACACAACTTTAGAGAGTTATCAAGGGAAAAACTAAGATATCCACAAAAGGTATGGCACGTGGAATTAGTATAATCTACACCCGTGGGCTAAATAACATTTTTGTTAGAAATATCAACGTATATCCTCTGAAAAAGGCCGGAGCATACAACAGCCGAAAACGTTGTGAATATGACATAAAGATATGGACAACAGTCCGATTGATGTAAATAGTAT